ATATATGATAAAGGATATGTGTGACGTTTCTTCCTAAATAAAGCTGAAGAGAGTTCTCATTTTGTCAAAGTAGCAGTGCACAGAACACGCAGAATGTGGCTGCATGCTGTCACTTTAGCCTATCTCAGTTCCTGGCACAGGAAGCTGGGTGAGGGGATTACTCATGCTCAGGAAGATGTTCGCACCATATGGTTATGTACAGTGATGCTTGAATTTGCAAAACAGCTTGCAAATAATATGCAACGCATTTCTGCAGAAGCAGTTTAATATAAAAAAAAAAAAACCCCACTACGGAATGTTCAAGGTAATACCAAAGTTAAACATGAGGTATAAGCACAAAATGATGTCCCTATAATACTTGTCATGCCTTATGCTTCTGCAGTCTCCAATATCAGTAGAATCTGCTATCTCCACCTGACTAATTAAAACCCATAAGTGAAAAGTTGGCTTCAGCTTACACATAGAGGCTTGGTAAAGGGGCAACTCCATGTTAGGTACGTTCATGGGTCAACGAAGTGGGGAAATTCTGTGTTTTGGCCAGAAATTGATTTTATGAATGTGCAATACATGAAAATAGGTCAGGATAGGCCTGTCTGCGTACTTCCCTGCTGAGACAAGCCCTTTCAAAAAGGTACCAATGGGCCATCAGCCTAAATGTGAAAAGTTTTTTCACCAAGGATGTGCGTGCTTCTGGCAGTTTTGAGCCCAGCTTAAAAAAGTGAAAGCAACCAACTTTTAAGTTCGGTCTCCTACAAATAACCTAAGCTTTGCTTTTTTTTTCTATAGGAGCAAATAGATTTAATACATAGGAAGTGAGGGTAAATTTCCATAATGTGGATACAGGCCACAATAAAAAAAATTGGCAGAGGTTCTAACCATCCCACACTTTCTCTTAAACTGAATAGGTTTTATCTGGAGTTTGCTTTAATCATTTGTGTTTAATGAATAACATTCATGTACTGAATGCTTTGTTCATAAAAATGTTTCTAAAATGTTTTCCACAAAATGAACTGATACCAGTTTGCCCCCCAATACCATGAATTTAAAGCTGAATATTATGCACACAGCTATATGCACGGTTAAACTACATATGCGGGAGCTGATCAACCTTGTCAGTTTGAAATTTACATTGCCCTACCAGACTGCAGAACCAGAATGCTGACCTGACCTTTCTCTGCTGCAGATGAAAAAAACACTACCAAAGTCACCTCCCTGCCCCATATCTGCTGACTGCGCAGTGAAGACAAAAGCAGCAGACTGATGAGTTCAGCTCTCTTCTATCTCCTCCTGTCAGCATGCTCCTTGTCACTATATGTGCACTTCAGCTTAACTGCATTACGTTGTGTTTTGTTTGACTGGAGCTCAGTTTTGGACACAAGATAACAGATTCCAAGCCAGGTTGTAATTGCAATATTTCCTTCTCTAAGAAAAAATTGCTGTGGGAATAACATGCAAGCTTAAGCGCCAAAAAGTCTGCATATACAGCTAAATGCTGGCCCAACCCCTTCAAATTTTTATTGCCCCATCATTATGATCGGCTATCTCACATGCCAATAGGAATGTGCAGAAGTAAAGAAGGGGAGGTCGCAAGCTTCTGCACTACGTAGGAAGGAGTTAACAAGCTTTTTACACTATGAAGAAGTGCTGAAACTTTGCCTGTCAAAACAGCCTGGCATTCAGCCATATCTACAGGCTTTTTGAAGCTGCTTCAGGTATTTGCAGGTATACTTAGGCACAAAAATGAGGAGTGGTACGAGTCTGGAAACCAGGCCTCAAAAGCCAGCAGGGCTGATTCATAATACTGTATTATAGTCATTTAGGACTCGAGAAGCGAGTAGAAGGAGACTTGGGCTCTTGATTGTAACCCATAGGGACTTGTAATGACCTGATAAGGGATCTAATTTACCCCTCCATCGGTTCACTTTATAGGGAGATATTATGACAACATTTTGCATATAATTAGGCATTTTTAAACTCAATTGCTGTAATGAACAAGGGGTCCCAAGGACTCCGATACCAGTTAATAATGAAGGTTGTGGTATTTGACCACCTTCTGTCCAGCGGCCGTTCATAAACGGCCATACGGGAGCCTTGTAGATGCGGGTGGGCGTTTTAAAACGTCCTTCCCTGCCCCCACTCATGCGAGATCAGAGGGAGGTCATTACATGATCTCCCTCTGATCTCTACTCCGATCTGTGAATGCAGGAAGTGATGTGTATTACATCACTTCCACATTTAGCTGTCCTTCCCGGCTACAGAAGGCGGAGAGAAGCTGGTGAAGTAGATCTCTGCTTCATCAGTTTCTGTGGGGGTCCATACGTGACATTAAGAGTCTTAGAGACCCCTGATGGAGGACCTGTCACATAAATTGGCTATCAGGTAGGGGGCTTCTTAGTCCTTTATGTGATATTAAAAAAATATTAAACAAAAAAAAAAAAAAAAAATTAGAAAAAATTAAAGCCTAAAAAAAAAAAAAAATCACAAAAATGTAAGAAAAAAAAAAAAAAGCCCCTCACATAAACATGCAAACACGTGTCGGGTGCGCCTACGTGCGAAAAAGACGAGTGCACCCATTGCGCTGCACAAGTTACATTCCATTGCGAACGTCAGAAGGGGAGCAATAATTATAGGGCTATCAATCACTTAACACTAAATTGATGAGCAGTAAAAGCTTTTAAAGTGTCCCCTATGGGCAATTTTGGGTATGCTAGTTTTTTGCGACTTTGCAGGCGTGCAGAATTTTAAAGCTTGACATGTTTGGTGTCTAATTTTTTTTATATTTTACCAAAAAATTGGGGTGATAATAAATGTTTCATAACATAAGATAACATAGGGAACTGTTTTTTTTCACAATTCAGTACTTTTTGTATTAATTTTCGATACTTTTTTGTGATTAAATACCAGCAAAAGAAAGTTCCATCTGTCCCATAAAAATTATATAAAATTAATTTCAGTACAGCATTGCATGACTGAATAAATGTCAGAGTACCTCAATACTGTAAAATGGCCTGGACAGGAAGGGGGATGGAAACTTCTAAAAGGACTTAGATTTTTAGGAAAATAAGAGAGGAGCATCATTTTCAGTACCTTTTGTATTTGTTTGGGTTCGTTCCTACTTTCCACAAAAAAAAAAAGCAATACTATACTGTGGGCCTTAAGAAATAGAGTTGTAATGATTCTGTTATGTGATCCAGTGATCTTGTTTATACTAGACTAAGAACCATTTTCGTTCAGAGCTTCTTACCTCCACCAGTTGCATTAGGTTATCAAAGTATGCTTCTTCATCGATGGTGAGCTTTCCATTTTTATAGATAATGCGATAATGCTCCACTTTCCCTTCACAGCTCACACATAGTGTGTAGTCCCCTGGATAGTTTGTGCTCTCCCGCACAAGAAACAGCCCAGTTTCTGGTGGATACAGGAGCCGTTCAGCCTGTTCTCTGGTTATCTTGCCATGAAACCATCTAGGAGAAGAAGAAAAATAAAAGTTGCTTAAAGCTGTGTACCCAAACAATTCAATTCACAGTTGAAATACATAAATGTGAATTGCCGCATCTGACAAAAAGGTCTTAATTCTATTTAGAGAGTTTTATACTCCAGACTTCCCAGTCAGTCAGACGGCACAGCAAGGCTCTGAACTAACTTTTCTCGACTGCAGTTAAAGCGAAATAGGTTGGTCAAACACCATCCCAATATAGCTAATGAAGATGTAAAACATTCAAATAAGTATATGTAACACAATGTTATACAAATGGTAACAAAGTACAAAGTGAATACACAATGTAAAACAGTAGAAAATTTTTTTTTTTAAAGATCACTAAAGGCTTGGTGTTTTTTCCTCAATACATTATTGCGGGGCAGGAGATTGAGGGCAGAGAAGCCATAGGCTCCTTCTGCTGTTAATCAACCTGATGGGCGGAGAGGAGGGGCATGCCACAGTGCTGCGTGCGTCTATGGACGCACACAGCCACTTGTGTACAGGAGCACACACGGGTGCCTCCATAGCAGCCGCTTAGCTGATGAAGTCACCCGTGCAGGGGGCGGAGGAGTGCTGCGGGAGCCACTAGAAAACTAGGAATTAAACATTTTTTATAAAAAACAACAACGAATTTCTTGTTGTATGGGCCTCCTACTTCTAAATATTAAAAAAACACACGGGAAGCTTTAATATCACTTTAGCAGTATGTCTTATAACAATGTGTCCAAATACTCTGATATTGTCCTTTGATCCCTTGAAACCAAAATACTTGTGATCTTCTGTGCAAGTAAGAAACACACAGGTGCACCCAATTGTCAGATGAAATATCACTATGATCCAATTTATAATCTATTCTAGGGGTGCCAACAAGGAATTTGTTTGTAGAATAAGCAAGAACTGATTTTTCTTTTTAACTTTACTCTTTGATGTTACCAATGCATGCAGGCAAATATCTATGGAAAGATCTGAAACATGCAGTCTTGTGCCTGGTACCCTTCGAACCAAAGACAGCTAGAGAGTGCACAAACTATCTGATGGCAGCTGCAGAAACCTCTTGAGAGCTACAGAAATCGCTTCATTGCAGTGACGGCCTCTAAATGTTGTGCTACAAAATATTAGGTTAAAAGGTGCCATCATTTTTTCCCATGTCATTTTCATTCGGTTCAGTGGCGTCACAGTCATTTTGGTGTCACCCCCCTCTGAAAAGTCGGGCGCTCGCTCATGGACCGAACGCCCGACAGTATCAGGAGAGAGGAGGGGACCCGGGGGCATACCTTATCTCGCCGGGTGACTGTCCCCTCCTCTCTCTGCCGGCGTCCATCACCAAGATGGCCGCCGGCAGGTATCAGAATACTGCCGCACACGTGCGTGGTGACGTCACGCGCATGCGCAGTGACGTCTCGGCGGCGTGACACTCGGTTACCGATCCGGGTGTCACCCAGCCTCGGGATGCCCCTGATTCGGTTTACCATTTTAAACATCCTGTTGAATCCAAAACACTGACATCTAGTCCAATTTAGTAAGGCAAAACGTAATCCACTGTAAGAGACCAATCATAACCTCAAATCTGGTGATTAATGCAAAGAACTGCCTGCTTTCACTTAAAACATAGCGCCAGACAAACAAACAAACAGTCTGCAAGTGCAAGAGAACAGGTTCACCTACTAAAAGCTTTGTCATTTTGTTCAGCTGCTTTTGTGATGATAGGGTTGGTTGGAATTTGTTTGGAGGCGTTCTCTACTTTTAGTGCACAAAAAAGACATGGGTCAATAACCTATGACATGCTTCTTTAAAACTTCTAAAAAGCAGAGGTGCATTTGGCTGAACAAAGAATAATAGTTTTCAGGGTTTGAAAACACAGAAATGTAAGGACAACAAGGGTAACCGTTTCTACACTTCTCTCCAGACAATTCTTTTTAGTGTATGCACAATATTAAAATATAGAACCCTTTACATTCTCTGTAAATGATGTACTGCCAGTAGATTAAGCAGCACCACCAATACTTCCAAAGGCCACACGTGAAGGAAACCGTTCCATGATGCAAAAAATTCAGGCATAACCACTTAGTGTTACAAAATGCTATGGGCAAGGCTGTATATCACACAGATGAAATGAATGAGACTCAAAGACAAGATTTCGCTGTTTTAAAGTGTATTTTCACCTTTGCAAGCCAAAATGGGTTAACAACACCTACTTTTTATTTGTTACAGAACTTAAGATTTAATAACTGCTGCTTAGATATTACTATTAGTTTCAATAATCCTAAAAAAGGTTTTCTTCTAAAGTAAAATGCAAGGGGGCAGGGGTTAATGTTTAATTATGTTAAAAATCAACCCTATCTGTACTGTACTGGCAGATTTCATCAGTTGTAAACTAGATTTACTACATTAAAAGTACTTTGAAGTATATATTTCCACTTCTATAGCCACATAGGGATAACACCTACTTAGGCCTCTCACACGAATCAGTGCACGGATCCTCACTTGATCTCAGCAGTTACGGCCCCCGTGTCTGTCTATGGGGAATCACATTAGACACCCCGCCCCCCCAATCCGGCATGATTCGGTCCGGCAAAATGGATCTCTGATCCGTTTGTTTTTCCGAAGCTGGCCCCGGAGTCAAGGGTAGCATTGGGCATCCGATCAGGTCCGCCTGAAAAACTGACAGGAATACCCGATCGGAACGCTTGTGTAAAAGGGGTCTTATATTTGTTACCTGTTCTCATTTACATAGCATACTAAAAAGAAAGAAAGAAAAAGTGCTCCTTACATATTACTAGTTTTCTCTCAATTTATTTTTCCTCTGGAATGTAAGGGGGGTGGGGAGGTTACTAGGGATGCACCGATACCGAGTATTTCAGCGAGTACTCATACTTGCCTAAATGCTCCGATACTTTCCCCGATACCAGGCAGTGCCATAGGGGAACATGGAGCCAGCTTCCCGTGTGATCAGGAAGCTGGGCGGCGACTAATGACCAGTCCCCCGGCTTGCTGATTGGTCGGGAAGTCGGCTCTATGCTGATTGGCCAGGAAGCCGGCAGTTCATATATAAGACAGGAAGCCGGCAGTTCATATATAAGACAATGTGACTGACCCATGCAGCGAATGACCCTGAGCAATGATGTTGGAAGCTGACTGCATTTACCGCTACAGCTTGTAGAATGTCATTGGCTTAATTTGCAGCTTTGCATCATGTGACATGTTATAAGGCAAGTAGAGAATGAACAACCTTTCTTGGGTTTCTGATGCTGTCATGCTGATTGAGAGATGACGCCAAGTCAACAAGGGGTCTCTGTGCAAGACCAATTTTTGCCGCCCCCTCCCCCCCCACAATTTAACCACTGATAAATAAAAAATTACACATTTACAGTGTATCAATAGACAGCTAGATAGAAGCTAATAGTGGTAAAATATATTGAAGAGTAGGAGGGGCTCCAGTACAACAGCTAGGTCCATGCTGATTGGCTGGGAATCCGGCTTCCCAGCCAATCAGCATGGAGCCGGCTTCTCGGCCATTCAGGAAGCCGGGCCATTACTCGCCACGCGGCTTCCTTATTGGCCGGGAAGCCAACTCCTTGCTGATTGGCTGGAGAGCTGGTTTCCCGGCCAATCACAATCAAGCAGGCCAAACAACTTGGAGCCAGCTTCCTGGGCAATCAGGAAGCCGGGCGGTATGTCATTACCCGGCTTCCTGATTGCCCGGGAAGCCGCCTCCATGCCAGTGGAATCACTGGTATCGGTACTCGGTATCGGCAAGCACCGAAAGCAGAATATCGGTACTCGATACCGAAAAACTGGTATCGGTGCAATCCATAATTAACCCTGTGTGTACTGTGCTGGCAGATCTCATTATTCGTTGTAAACTAGATTTGAACACCATCAAAAAAAATCCCTTCATTGTAACGACCACCAATCACCAAAAATATACGATTTTCCAGTCCGAATACTGACTGCCCTCTAACCATATAAGCAGTGTCATAGCGTGGGTTGTCAGTTCTCAAGGCAAGGCAAGTATTACGCCCCCCTACCTCAATGTGTAACCCCCTCTCCTGCACCCTGACACTCTGCACTGCCTAATAATGCCTGTACCCCAATAATGTGTAACCCTTTTTTTTTAGCGTTATGCGACAGTTTTTCTAAAACAAGTGCCAGAGCCCAGTCGCAGCTGCGACCACTGCAGCCCTGTTAGTTCTGTTACAGACACCAAGTTGTAGAGGGGATTACAAATCCCAGCAATACATTATACAGCAATGTAGAATGGCACCGGCTATAGGAGGACTAGAAATCCCAGCTATACATTATACAGCAATAAGGAATAATACCTACAGCAATAGAGAACAACATCAGCTATAGGGGACTACAAATCCCAGCAATACATTATACAGCCATGCCGAATGGCTGCCAGCTAGAGATGCCAGATTAAATTGTTAGTAATGGATATAAACAAAAGTTAAAACATTATCGTTGCAGTAACAGCCATTCTTGTCCTGTACATATTTTGGGGTTGCCAGAACATGTGTTCTTGTACTGAATATGTATACATGTATGAACAAGTTTCTGCACCAGACAAAGATATCCAACTTAGAAAATAGACTTTTCACCAATTCAAAATCTCCTGTCATCATCTGCGGATCTGTTTAGCACCTCACCACTAACTCAACAATCACCAGATCACATATTTAAAACAGGTCTAACGTCTAGCAGTTATAGCAGGAGAAGGGTTTTACCAGAGACTCTCAAAAGTGGTTTGCTAGTTATCAGTATCAAACACGGTTAGAGCACAGATAATGAAACTCTCAAAATACTGTGTTGTAAGTCTGTATAAGGACAGAGAAAAACATAATAAGCAAAGTATTTTCACAAGACATAGACTACTTTGATTAAAGCACCAGGAAGGAGAAAAGAAATCCATTCTTTGAGTAAATCTTTGAAAACACAAGCAGCACATGCCTAACACTCAATACCGTACAATTCATTTGTGTAACA